CCCGGTTCAGCCTCCCCCGGCCCCACTCAGCCCTGCGCAGCCTGACCCAGCGAGTCCTGGTGCAGCACTCCCAGGCGGCGCTCAGGATCACGGAATCACAGAATCAATTAGGTTGGAGAAGACCTCTGAGGTCACCGAGTCCAACCTTTGGCCGAACACCGCTATGTCAACTAGACCATGGCACTGAGTGACATGTCCAGTCTTTTCTTAAACACCTTCAGGGACAGTGAGTACACCACCTCCCTGGGCAGCCCATTCCAATGTCTAATCACCCCTTCTGTGAAGAAACTCTCCCTGATGTCCAGCCTAAACCTCCTGGGTGCAGCTTAAGACTATGTCCTCTGGTCCTGTCACTGATTGCCTGGGAGAAGAGGCTGATCCCCACCTGGCTACAACCTCCTTTCAGGTAGTTGTAAAGAATGATAAGGTCAACACTGAGCCTCCTTTCCTCCAGGCTAAACACCCTCAGCTGCCTCAGCTACTCCTCACAGGACTTGTGCTCCATTCCCTTCACCAGCTTTGTTGCCCTTCTCTGGACAACTTGGCTCACCTCAGCCTGACCTCTCCAGCCCAGCTGGGTTTGGTTCAGTTTGACCCAGGGGAGCCTGGATCGGCACAGCTCCTTGTCTTGGCTGATGAGACCCATAGGGAGAATTTCCATACCACGACGCCATGTGTCCAGTGGGGGATCTGGCAGCCAGTTGGTAAAAGAAGAGCCCGGGGAGCCAGTGTTGGCCCCACAGCAGCGTGTCCTGAGGTGATGGGGCTCCTCAGCCCATACGTCTGGTTTCTCATCACCCTTGTGTTCTTCCCACTGCACCTTCCCCTCGTGAGAGCTCAAATCGACATGTAGCCATGTTCAGCATTGCTATGGGGTCTGTGCTGGCATTCTGGTAGCATTGTGCAGCTTGTTTTGTAGGCCAGTTTAAATGTTTTTTTGCTGCAGTGAACAGTGCCATAACTATGAACACTCTCTCAACTCGTGTCTATAGCTACACCTTGACGTCTGTCCTCAGGACTTGTTTGGTCCACAGAGGAGGGGGTAACAGGAGCTCACTATTGAAAAGAAAGTTTGGCCCATGAATCTGAGTAACCAGCAGTGAGTTTTGGTTTTGCTTTCTCCACCAGGTGCTCTGTGATCAGGCAATCCTGGGAGAAGAAATGTGTCTGTCCCACCCAAGCTCATCACCTTGACCTTCCAGCTTCCATAGGCCCCTCCCATTGAAGCATCCCTTTCCCATTGCAGGTAGGGAGATGTGCCTTCTCTGCTCTCATTGCATAGGGATATTCAGTCTCAATGTGGCTGCAATTCCTGAAGGAGCCACTTGCTCATTTGTCTTTCAAGTCTAGTCTGTGGGATTTAGTCTTCAAGGGACCTTCAAGTTTTGGTGTGGAAATTGTGTTTCTGCTCCATTGGGTTTCAGTTTCTAAGTTCTGCTAATTTTCTTTTCAGGAACAGAAATGGACACTTGGAGAAAAATCTGTGGACTGCTAGTAATGCGATGAAGGCAAGAGCTGATGAAAGCTTTGAGGTCTTCCTTCTGGGCAGTCACTCCCAGGGAGAAGCAGCATATCCTTTGGAGGTGGTACCAGAATCCACTGCTTTGGGGGCATTACAATGTTATAGTGATGCTCCTGCCACTGCCAGAGGTTTGGCCATAACACCAGACAATATATGAGAGTGCAAGCCTTCTTTCCAACCCTTGGCAGCCCATGGCATGCTCTTTTGGGTGGAAATGCTGCCTATATCCCCACCCCCTTCCCACCCATTCATTCCTCTGCAAAGCATAGTTTGTCACCCCCTCGGCTGTGCTAATGCACCCCCCAAGCTGAGGAGTGACACTGCTGGATCTGCTGAATGGTCCCAGCTAATAATACCCCCCAATACCTCTTTATTTTGGAAAGTTATTCAAGGATCCAACTTGCAGAATGGCATGATAAACATCTTGGCAAAGCTGAGTTGGCAGCAAAAGGAAGTGTCAGGGCAGGAGTAAATGGTTAGGGGCAAAGAAATGGCAGGAACGTCTTCAGCTGCTGTACAATAAAAGACCAGAAGTAATGATTTGACACATTTCTACCCATCCTGTGTCTTTTTTTTTTTTTTCCAAATGATGTTGTGATCACACAGACCTCTAACATCCTCAAAACCTTTCATGCCAAAAATTTCCGTGGTCAGCAGGAACATCAATGCACCTGAAGTGGGGAACGTGGCATTTAGCAATTGGTTACTACAGAAGCAGAATAAGGGCAGAGTTATGGCCATATGAAAAACCCAGGGCACAGTCTTGTAATTAAAAGGCCATCATAATGCATGTACCACTGAGGAGGACTGGGTATTAATCACTGTCTGATTAATACTTGAGAGCTTGTCTGTGTGATCTGGATGTATTTTTATGTGCTCGCCTTGTGCATGCACGTATTTGGCCCAGTGGTGAGAAGCAAATGTGTCTGAGGCTTGGAAGCTGAAGTTTCACTTGATCTGGCTTCTTGAGTCATTTCCTGTGGATTTGCAAGATCTCATATTTGATCTCTGCTTTCACTGTCCTACTAATTTAGAAGCTGCTGAGCGATGTATTCTCTGAATGATTTCTCTCCCTCCTGGTATTACTTTCATGCCGATAGATACTCAATTTTATTTCTCTGATATTCAGGTTACTGTGCCGGTTCTTGCGGGTGGTGCATTCGAGATGACTGACTTTTCTGAATGAAAAGGCTCCCTCTCAGAGGTGTGATTTCTGTTTGTGCCTTGTGTTGTTTGTATACAGAGTTTCTGCTCAGACACAGAATAGTGCTTCCCTGTGATGTGTTCATTACAGTACCTAGAATTAATTAGCTATGGGTGGCAGAGCTTCAAGGCAGCAGCTCCTGCATACTAACGATTTGCATGCTGTGACTGTCCTGTGTTTTGTATTCAAAAGAAACATTTATTTTGCAAAGTAATGCTTTAGCTGTTGCAGAGAATCTGGCATATGGACCTCGTTTCTGCTTGGATTGGAATGGACTTCCCTGAGTGCTGTTACACCTTTAGCTACCACTTATTTAGGGTGAGAAGTAACTGGAATTTGAAGTGGCAAACTTCAGGATGGCATTTGCTGCAGGCTTGCAACGTAACCTCCTACCTTCACTTACTCTTGCTTGTGAAACCTTTGAGCTGAAGTCTTCCACACTGTTGATTTAGGAACCTAAATATGAATGTTGGTACCCTGTTGACTGTGCTGAATTCAATGATTTTTCCACTGACTCACTCGGTGACTTTGAATGAGTGAGGAGTGGAAGTCAGCAGTCCTGAATCATGCCATCCTCCAGACAATTACCCCCCTCACCGATAATTCTTTCGAGCAGCAATCATATTTTAAAAGCAATGATTACATCTGTGTTTTCCCCCATTATAATCACTCAGAATTTAAGAGCCACAGAAACAATCTGCAACATTTGCAGTCAGCTTGAAATCTTTCAGTTGACACTTTTTGGGAGGTCAGAGACTGTGAAAATACTAAGGGTTCTTTTCAGCAGGAGTGGGATTTCAGCATGCCTTTGGAGAATTGGTTTGGAGAATTGTCAGGATCATTTCAGGCACCTGCCAGGGGAAGAGAAGGTGGAGAACTCCTTGCAGTCTTCCCAGGATGTCGTTTTGGAGGGTGGTAAGATCAGAGCAGGAAAGCAGAAAGGACCCTCACTGCCAGATGAACTGATTTGCTCAAGAACTGACTATGCCACTGTTTTCTAGTTTTTATTTCTTTGTAACTCTGTGTTTTACTAGCGCTGAAAGTGGCAACAAATCTTAGGAGATCTCTTGTGCTGTTGCCTGTGTGATTTTTCAGGACACCAAGGGATCAACCTGGGCAACAGCAATGACTGTGCTGGTGTCTGGGAAGGCATTGACCAGTGCATGCAGTCAGCCATGAGTCACTTGTGTGGGACAAATCTGCTGTCATTTGTAGCTGATTTCACGAAACCATGCGCTCTCCTTCACCCTCTCCCAAAATACAAACAAGGTTTATTGAAATGAGGAGACTGTGAGGAAAAGGGGTCTTTTCAAAACCCTTGCTTTCTAACTGGGCACTCTGTTGCCCTCGTAATATTCAGCAGTATGTGATTTATAGCTCCCCTGACACGATGGTTTGGTGTTTCCTTTGTGTGCATAACTTCCTTTTGATATAAAGGGATGATAACAAACCTAAACTGTAATCTCACTAGCACATGACACGTTGTCTTTGTGGTGCAGATGGCAGGAAAATGCTCTGATCTTGAGTTCAGCACTTCAGCCTTCCCACCCCCACCCCAAATTCCACCCTGGTAACAGGGTGGTCATTAGCAAGTTTAGTGAGACAGCAGTGTTGGTGGGGGCGATTCCTTCAGATGCAGTGATGCAGGATGATGTTTTTGGGAGTCCCACTGGAGTTGAGTCCCTGGTATGGACTCAGCAAGAGATGGGTGCACAGCTGCTTCTTTATCTTCTTCTTACCTTTTTGTGCTGAATGACTAGAAGGAAAAACTGCTACAAAACCTTCACTTACCACTGTCAGTCCCCCAGCAGAGCTTTCCTTCTGTGCATTCCCAACTCAGCGTGCCCTGGCCCATCAAATCAAAAAAATAATGTGCACGAACTCTGCAACTGTCACAGCAACCTCAGGATTAGTCCTAAAGCTGGGCTGCTTTTGGCATGAGGGAAGGGCTGCTCTTCTCTCGAGATGCCTTTCCACCCTTGAGAGGTTTCTGCATTTTTGATACAGCTGCTTCCAGAGCCTCATGGGAGCTGAACAAACAGATGTCAAATAGTCTGTTCTTACTTCAGGGAGCACAAAAGTGGATGGGTCTGGGATAAACACTGGAGCTGTGCACACCTTTTCCTGCCCTCCTCGGGGATTATTTGAATTAGGCTTGAACCCTTAAGTGTATTTCAAAAAGTTGCCTTCTGATGGCCAAAATTCACTTGGGTGTTCCTCCCTGTCTTGCACAGCTATTGGGAGACCAACCATTCTGAAGACTCATGTCCCCTTTTATTGCAAAACTCTTTGATTGGCCTCAGCAGGTGACACAACGAACAGTTGACTACTTACTTTAGCAAAACCAGTTTTCATGGCTTGACCTCCTTTTCTGACCCAGTGTCTTGCTGTGAGTAGAGGGTCCTATTCAGTGTCTGAGCAGTTGTAATTGCAGGATTACCCAGTCCAGGCCCAGACGTGGTAGAAACCCCCCCACAGGCATTGATCAGGAAAGGCTTCTGGAGTTAAATTAAGCTTTTGAAATATGGAAATGAGGACATGGCTTAGTCAGGCGTTCAGTGGCATATGATACACAGGGGAAATGAGTTATATGCACCCTATTTGTGTCCCTCTGAACCCAGCCCTCAGCTTCAGGGCTGCTCGGTGACATGACCCATGCAGAACTTTAAAGATGCTTGACAATGTTTGATTTCAAAGGGTGCCAGTCCACCCTCTTCTCCAGGCAGATATTTTTCCTTGTGTCAACATCCTCATAACAACTCCAGCTAGGCAAATATAGCACATGGCTTATGAGTGTCCTGGAAGGACTCAGAGGTGGAGAGTTAGAGCTAAAGAAGGTTCATGGTTAACCCCATGCACCACTGAATAGCTTTTCCAGGGATAAATCACAGCACATGATGAAGAAGCTGGGAGGAGAGTTTAATGGTCCTGCAGAGAGCACCACCTTAGACAGTCATCCCTCAAGATATTCCCAAGGATTCTCATGGAAAATAATCCTACACTCCTTTTATGTCCTTGTAATCACACACATATTATGCTTCCCTGCCCAGTTCTAAGGAGAAAAGTAATTAGTCACTCCACACAAACCTTTTGGGACTATGCATATACTCCAGTATGGAATACAGCTCTGTCTAGAAGGGAATAAAAATGCACAACTCTGCTCTGTGTGTGGTTATTAACAGAAGCTGCCATTCGCAGGAACTGGGTGCAAGGCCTTCCATGTGCTCCCTGCCAGCTGCATCTCCAGCAGCATTGGCTGCCAGGCTTAACAAAGCCCAGAAATGGAAGCCCAGGTTATGAGAGCTTCACACCTGTAAGGCCAAAAGCACAGGCTGGACTCCTGCTCACAAAACTCCCTTGTTTTAGATAGCAGGCTCTCCAGTTTCTTAGAGGAAAAAAAAAAAAAAGAAGAAAGGCTGGTTATTGCTGGGTGTGTGTTCTGACCTTAAAAGCTGAAAGTAAAAACTCTTCCAGATATGGGGTGTGCTGAAGTGGCAGCTGAAGGGCTTTTTTTGTTCGTTCTACAGTGAATACCATCGTGTTAAAATTGCACAGGGAGGAGTGGGGGTTAATTTAAGATTTAGTGTGACCAAAAAGAATTATTTAAAAAACAACAAATGGACGACATTCTGAAAAATAAGCTTGATTTCCATAGTCAGGAGTACTTGACTTAAGTTGCAGGGACTGTGAAGGAAGCCTCCTGGATCCATGGCAGGTAAACATTTGCTTTTGATTCTGTTTTTCTCTTCAAGTGTCGAAACCCCAGCATTTACACTTAAATGGATGTGCTGTAAGCTATGTTTAGGAAGAGAATTTCATCCCCTCCTGCACGTACTTTTAACACATGATAATTATTTGACTGCAGCTTTACAAAGTATGACTGGAGGGATGGTTTGTAAGGGAGGAGTTACATGGCACTGATAACTGCCTGACTCAGCCCCACTGAAGGCAGTGGCAGCAGGATCAGGCCATCCAGAAGAGATATTTTATTTTAAATGTCAATTATGTACCTTCAGTGGCTTATGGTAAATTCCTGCCTCCTGATTTCACGCGTTGGAGAACACGTGTGTGCTGGAGTGATGAATGTCTTCAGGGTCACGTGTTCAATGTGGACAGGAATCTCTGCATTTTATAACCTTTTTTTAAAAAAAAAAAAAAAAACAAACCAAGGAGCCAGAGAGCTTATGAAGATGATGTTTTGGGTGACTGATACCATCAGTTTTGTCTTCATCAAACATATCACAGAGTCTGTGCTCTTCCTTTATTTTTTGCTTTCTGCTTCTTCTCTCCCACCTGATCTGTTCCTTCTATACAACAGGAGCTATAGTCCAAGATTCATCAAGGGGGGAAAAAATTGCCCTAACCACATGTCCAGATGCATTACCTTGCATATAACTGGTTCTGCTTGTGCCGAAGCCATTGCCACATTACCAGTATTTAATTTATTATTGCACAAAATGCTCTGGATAGCTGTGACATTAAAAAGCTTTTCATAAATTGGTTCCTGCTCAGCTCTGAAGAGATTTGGGTCTTTTCTTTGATGTTTTTCGGTCTAAGAAAGTGAAAGCTCTCCTACAAGACTTGATCAAAGTCCTGTGAGATGGCAGTCTGAATTTTGGCCCTTCCTCTCTTGGAGGAAAGCAAACCAGGACAAGTCTTTGTCTTCTTGAAAGAAACATGGATAACTGTCTTCTTTAAAATCCTGTGAGGATGGAAAGCAGAGGTTATTTTCACTTTCCTGTAGAAAGGTCAACTCTATCCCCTCTGCAGATGGACTCAACCTCCCCAAGTAACAGGATGAGCAAGGCACCTTTTGAGAAGGGTCACCAGAGCCTGTTGCTTTGTGCTTTCTGAAGAATGCTGGCAGTGGAAAGGGCTTCATGCCACTACCATACAGCTGTCACCAAAATCACAGCCAGAGGTTTATTTGATCATAAAATCTGCTACAGCAGGGAGCAGTGGAAGCTCTGCAGTGACTTACTTTGCTGCACACAACTACCCCAAAAGGGGCTTTGACCTTTACACAATGGCACTTTGTTATATAGAATTTTCTTATGTTAGTTTTCCAAGTATTGAGGGGAAGAGGATCACTGAGAAACAGGAGATCTTGAAAAAAAAATTTAAAAATGTAATAAATCATATATTGTGACTTTTGATATAGTTAGTACATCCATGTAATAACGTCTGGTATGACTAGTCTTCATTCGTGTCCTTCACAATCATTTGTAGGGGTGAAGAGTGTTGCTCTTCCATTACAGCAGAAGAAATCACAGCCTGAGGAGATACCCAGGTGTCAGGGAGAGGACTTGAACTCATGAGCATTTGGGAGTCATCTAGGACAGGAAAACAACATCTACTCGAGTTTAATTCCCTATACTTTTTTATGTATGTCTAGTTGCTTGGCTGTGAGTGGTATTTAAATCCCCTGAGCCCCTCCATTCCCTTGTAATTTACTATCAGAAAGGACAGAAATAAATTCTAACATGTTTGTGAGACATATCAGAATTACTTCAAATTTAGGAGAATTTTGGATTAAACTTAAATGCTTCAAAGCCTAAATATCACACTGCTAATTATCTTCTTATTAGTTTAAATCATCATGGATAAAAATGAAATGCTGCTGTGAAAACTGCCCCATCAAACTGAACGTGGTTGTAGCTGTTTGCCTGGTGTGGCCTGAGTAAAAGTGCTCTACTGTGCATTTCTACTTTAGAAAAATTCTTTATGCCCTGATTTCCAAGTTCGAAAATAACTCTCTACAGATGAAACACATTTTTCACCCTTCAAAGAAGTGTTTTCACCTACAAATACTCCTTGCTGCCTAAACAAGAACCCTTTCCTTTACACTTGTGCCAACATGTAACTTGGATAAAGAATTAAACTTAGATTCTTAGTTATAATGCTTCCCCTGACTTTTTTTTTTTTTAAATAATGACTGTAAGACCTGTGCCTTCTTCTTTCTGAATTTTAATCTTTCTAGTGAAGGTGTGTTTGAAGAAGGCACACCCTTCAGAAAATGTTTTGTGGTATCGTATTTGTGCCTTTAGTGTTGAGGACGAGCTTGCCTTTTCAATATTAAATGCACTTTTCAGGGTCTTACATCACAGAGGCCTAAATTAAAACATGCTTACCATAAAGGGGTGCAGCATATGCATTCATCCTGGAAATTGCACTGTGACATGAAAGATATCCAAGCACTGCATGTAATTTTGAAGATGAGCAAGGCTTGGCCTTTCAGATGTCCCACGCGAGGGAAGCACCCACATCCCGCAAAATTGTAAGCTTCTGAATCATGGAAGTCGGATCATAAAGCCTCTAATTCCCACTGGTTTGAAGATGTGTGGGACTGTGAAAATTAAGCCCAGTGCTGGGTCGGGGGTGGATGTGAGCCTGTGCAGGAACCCCTGTGACCTGGCACCCAGCATGACCCAGGGAGCTGCAGAGCTCATGGATGGGGTAGCTCTCACTTTCTGCCTCCCAGCTCCTCCTCCACGTGGTTTTAAGGCTCCGGGGTCAGGATCTGGTTGCTCACCACGGTGTGAAAATTTTGCTTAGTGGCTTGCAGGCTGAGAAGGGCTGGTCATGCCCTGTGTAAAGAATTATTTGTTTAGATGTAAGTGCCTTTCTCTTAATTAAGCCTGACAAAGAAAATGTTTCCCCTCTGGTATGGTGGTATAGACGAGGAGTAAGACCACTGGCACCCTTATTTTGGATATATATACCATGGTGAGACCAGCAGCTGGCCTTGAACATACCGTGAAGGTATGCAGCTATGGGTGCACCTTGCTGCAGGCTGTGCACCCCTGCAGATCTGGAGACCTTCTTTCTGGGTTCATATGGGATTAATACCAAGTTCATTCTCCACATCCATGTCTCCCAGGGGCCAAACTGTAGCTTCCAAGAGCCATCAGCTCCATGAGCCTGTGGGTATACAGAGGGAACTCCCAAACTCCAACCAGAGTGAGCCTTCCTGCCTCTGTTCAATGTCAATTTTTACTCATAACTGTTGCAGGGACAAATTTTGAAATCCATTCCAAGTGTTGGATATTGGCAATCCCTCTCCTAAAGTGCCATGGTTGGAGAGTATCCTGGGCTAACTTTGGAGGCTCTAGACTCTCCTGTTTCTAGATATTGCAGTAAATGTTGTTATTTAGCCTCCTGTGATGTTACTGGGCTCTACACAAATGTCCTAGTCAAACTCACAAGGAAGAGGAAATATGGGAATATTTACCACCAGAAGACACTGCCTCCCTTGACATTTTTGTCTGCAAAACAATGACTTATAGAGAGTTTTAAACTGAAGGTGTTGTTGACTGTTTTCTTTTTAATTTTTTGATTTTTGTTTCCTGTAGGAGACCTTCTGAATTCCTTAATGTTGTCATTGAGTCCTAGGGATTTCTCTCCCTCTCCTCTTCCAGTTGTGCTAGCTACATCTCCCAAGTTGCCTGCAATGTGAAATTGCTGAGGGAAGACATTTCTGTTTAAACTGAAAGCCATGAATACAAGAGCTGCTCCTCCCAAAGGAAATGTTGTTGTTCTTTTTACTT